ATAACCAAAGCTTAAGGATCATATGATTCTTTAGACAGTAAATCTGGTGGTTCAGTTGTACACATATTTGGCAGATTATAGGTTTATCACTGGCAGCTAATCTTTTAAAGAACTGGGGCTTAACTCCTTTTGTTAACTAATTAAAAAAGAAGGAACTTCAAGCTGTAATTAGACTTATTAAAACATGTGTTACTCACTCAATGGTCTATACAACCAGGATAAATGCATAATTAGGAGGTTTCACCAAACATGATTAAAGCCAGTCATGTGTCCTAGGCCATCAAACATTTATGTTTGTGTGAGATTGAAATATAAACTATAATATACATTCTAGAGAAAATACATGAACTGCCTTGGACTTGATGTTCTTGGAGGTCTTTTCCAAGCTAAACGATTCTGGGATTCTGTATTGTAAATATTTAACTCAATCATAAAAGCTGTTTTTCAGATGTGAATCTGGAAGGGTTGTGTCACACCCATAGCTTCTGGTGTGTGGTGACAGTGGTGGCAGTGATGGGACCAGGTCCATCTGAGCCCGTGATCTGTCACTACAGTTTGCTGATAATTTAAGAAATTTAGAAGTTAGTGAGTGGAGTATTCCTGTTCTTGATCAGCACATTCCCCAGGGACATAAGGATTTGTATCCCTTCCAAAACTCATGTCTGGTGTGTGGGATTAAGCTTCTTTTTTGTTTGGGTTGTTGGTCTTCAAATGACAAAGTAGTAAATTCTTCAGCTTTGTGGCTAGAGGATATTTTTCCTTCCTCATATTTAGGAGATGGGAAGAAAAGCAGGTCCACTGACCTTTCATACCTCACATTCATAGGTGTGAGTGCTTTCTCCCTGCAGTGCTTTCAGGCAATGTCATTCCTTGAAGGGGAATTCCCAGGAAGGCTGTGGCAGTTCTGGGCCTCTGCAGCCACCGTCCTGTCCATATGGGGATGATTTATCAGAATCCTCCCTGGCTGGTGTCTCACCAGCTCTTTTGTGGCACAGACAAGCTGGAGAGAGGGACTGGGAGCACTTTTGCATCCTGAGTTGCCAGCACTGACCCCTTTCCCAGTGCCCACATCCAGGCTGGAGCCTCGGAGCTGTCTGGGCAGCAGGGAGAGGGATTGATGCCATGAAGTCACTCCAAAAATCCCAGTGCATCTCTCCAAACCAGGAGATGTTGATGGCTCTCGTGGAGGTGCAGACATCTCTGACACGACTGCTAACCAAAATTAAAGACATAAATAAATTGTTGGCTGCCACAGCTCTTTGTTTCAAAGAAACTTCGGTTTCAAGCACCTCACGTTCAGAAAAACACTGAAGTGTTGGGGTTGCTGGGCTTAACCTGCAAGGAAGAAATTAGCTCAGGTCCTGAAAGCTGACTCAGATATTTCCAGTTGTCCTGCCAGAGACCTATTTGCACTGGTAAACAAATTACAGAAGAGTTCTCAAGTCATATAGACAGGAACAAGCTTCTTCAATATATACCAATTTCTGCTCGGAGAACAGTGAAATTCAGTTAAAGCCTGAGCTGCCTGTTCTGCTTTGAGGCCCAAGAGATACTGCAGGGAGAATTGGGCTGGTGTCAGCCCTTTTTGTGTCACTAAACTGCTGAGAAGCCTGGGGTCAGACAGGGAGGGACGAGCAGTTGGGGGACAATGCAGTGCAGAGGAAATGGTGGAGGTGTCCTGCTGCCGGCTGTGGAGGGGAACGGAGCTTCCTCTGCGCCTGTCACATCTGCCTTTGCCTTTGTTTGTGCTGGTTGGCATGTCCACATCCACTGGGAGAGGAAGAGGGATGTTCCTATGGATGCATGGGTGTAGATGCACATAAAAATAGCAGCTGTCTGTACTGCACACGTGGTGGTTCCAGGACCAGTTTCTAAGCAGTTCCTGTGGTCGAAATGAGTGGCACCAGAAGAATTTCGGAGTCATTTTGTTGTCTGTGGGGTTTTTTGTCTTCCTGTCTGAAAAGCAAAAAGACAAGGCCCCCTCATGGAAAGGACCGGTTTTTGTCCCAGCTGTGCCTCTTGAGAGACAACTAAAACATGAGTTTTGAGTGACTGACTAGGGATGGAAGATGGGGGTCGGTCCCATCTCGCTGTGACAAATTACTGCTTACTTTTATTGTTTAGGTTCCAACAGGGTGATGGTTAGCCAAAGGTCCTGAACAACTGGATAAGAAGAGGTATCAGCTCTTTAATCCTAAATCTAGAGCTCCAGAACCAGGCAGAAGAATTCCCTAACTTGTTTCAGGGTTTTGTGTGCTTTGCCTGGCTGTCACACCTGAGTGGCTGCACGGGCCATAGCCCTGAATATCTGACCTCAGATTTCACTGGGCTCTTCATGTGGGCTGTGCTTTTTAAGGCTCCTTTTATTCCCAACCAAAGTCGGAATCTCATGACTTAAATTTGGATACCACTGCTTCAGAGAACGTAGTTTAAATATTAAACAGATAATTTGGAGTGTGTCAGCGTGGGATAAGCCAGGGAGGAGGAGGAGGATGATCTGAGGAGGAACTGGGACAGAAGAGTGAATGCCTTACTTGTTGCAGATGATTTCATTGTATTGGGCATCTGATTCCGTGGTGTTGATGACACCGAGTCACTCTTTTACCACAAAAGGAATGCTTTGTACAGTTTTCCTGCTCTACACAAGGGTTGTAAGAGGAGCTTTCTAACAACGTTGTTTGGAGGAAATTCCTGTCCAGGGCATTCCCTGGGAGTGGGATTGGCTGGTGAGCACGAAATGGTGTCATTTTTCTGTAGGTATTTCAAATTTGAGGAACGTGCATTTCCAAACCTGTCGTTCTGCAGGTGGAAGTGGCACTGTCCATACTCATCCCAGGCCTGGCAGGTGACTGTCACCCTCCCTGTGATGCAGATCTGAACCTCTTCAGAAACCACAGCCAGCCTGCAGTTCCCTGCTTCCTAATTCTGCATGACTAAGCCTTTCAGCACGTAATAAATACTGTTGCTCATTCCAAATGCATTGGTTACCTGTGCACCAATCACTGTCAGCATATTTCTGCACTGGGGTGGTTGAGTGTTGGGTAATTGGCATAAATTAAATTAATCTGAGTCACAGTATTGCCCTTTCTGTTCCACCCACGTGTGTGGTAGGGATGGGAGATGTGTGAGCAGCACTGCACACACCCTGCCAGCCAACAAGGAACCTGTGTTCCCTCAGAGAGTGGGGATTGGTGCACAGCTCACACCAGGATATGAGGAAGTGAAGAGTGCACACCAGTGTTTGTTTGGTGTGACTACAGGAATCCTCAAAAAGTTCCTTTCAGCTGGGGGATTACAGCGAGGAGAACAATGCACACACATCAGTGGCAGGTTTTTGGCTGCTGGTGGGTGTATTTGTGACCCAGGCACGTGGCTTGGTGTCTGCAGGGCCCTGCCCACGTTTGTGAGGGAGAGCTGGGCCCTGGCTTGGCTCTGCTGAAGGGCACAAAGTCAGGCACTTCCCTTCACTCAGCTTTTTCCCATCTGAAGAAGGAGAATCAGTAATTGCTCGTTATTCTCAAAGCACTTCCATGTTTAAGGACATATCATGAGCACAGAGTCATGGAATGGTTTGGGTTGGAAGGGACCATAAAGACCATCTCATTCCATCTCCCTGCCATGGGCAGGGACACCTTCCACTAGCCCAGGTTGCTCCAACCCGGCCTTGGACACTTCCAGGGCTGGGGCAGCCACAGCTTCTCTGGGCAACCTGTGCCAGGGCCTGCCCATCCTCCCAGGGAGGAATTCCTTCCCAATATCTAATCCAGACCTCCCCTCTCTCAGTTTAAATCCCTGCTGTTCTCCTCACAGATGATCTGTAGAACAACAACAGTAAGCTGAGGATTTGTAGAGGTTACATTTGTAGGAACAGATTGCCCTGTTCTTACAACTCTCTGCACTGACTGTTTAATTTCTGCCCCTGCAATTACTCCTGGGTGTAGCTCAAGCTGCTTGGATGGCTGAGAACTTGCTTGTGCTCATGTGTCAGGTATTTAGGCATCAAAGCACTGTGCCTTATTCCTGCACAGGGCAGCAGCACCCACAAAACTGCAGGTGCAGGGAAAGGTCAGGTTGAAAATCAGGTCTTTGCAGTTCACAGAAGTGTTGCTGAAATAGGAAAACGGGCTGTGAAAAAGAAAACCTGTTAGATGAACCATTTGCTTTTGGTCCATTTTAGGCTGAGTTGTGCTGAATGTGAAGTACATCCTCATCCCATGGGACTGAGCTTTACTCAGAAAGGTTTGGAATTCCCTGGGCAGCTCAATCCCTCCCCTGCCTTGTGTGGCTCTGAGTCGTTCACCTGCAGGTCCTGCCTGCGGAGCAGGGGATGTTCCTGGGGCTCCCAGTGGAGCTCAGGTCTCCTCTTTGTGCAGCTGGGATTGGGACTGGGGGATTTTTGGGACTGTTCAGTGCCCCTCACTCTGCCTCCCTGCTGCGAGGGGAGGTGTCTGCTGCTCTTCAGGGCAAGTGGAGTGAGATGGGTGCTTAGCCCCTTGGAAAGATTCCCTTATTCCGTGGCTTTTAATGAAGGAAAACATTTTGTTTGGGGATTTGGGAGTTCAACTCCTTCCCAGCTTTGAGGTTTTTCACAGCCAGAGCTTGTCCCTTGGCACACTGGGGAGGGTGGATTGGCCTCAGCAGGTGCTGCTGTTTCTGGATTTCAGAGCAAACCTTCCAAACTCGGGCTGAGCAAGACTGAGCTGCATCCTGGGTACAAACTGAGGGTCTTCTGCCTCTTTTAAAATACATCCTTGAGTGTCACTGGGTAAACATTTTATTCTTACTTTTCCCTTCATGCCTATAAATCTTCACAAAAATTATAGTCCCTTTCCTCCCAGCAGGAGACAAATGAAATGAGTGCGAGGCTTTCAGGCCCATTTTCCACTCCCAGGGCTTTGTATTTCCCTGCTTTCCCAGATTTTGCTGTCATCCATCCTGAATTGAAAAAAAAAACAAAAAAACAAGGGGCTAGCTGATAATGTTTCTATTTGCTCTCTCAGTATTTCTGGCTGCTGGTGCTCTCCCGGGGTTTGGTTGGCATCGGAGAGGCGAGTTACTCCACTATTGCCCCAACCATCATCGGAGACCTGTTCACCAAAAACACGAGGACCCTCATGCTCTCTGTCTTCTACTTTGCAATTCCCCTGGGCAGGTAAGTAAGTGGCACCAAAATTCCTTGGGCCTGGTTTTGCCTTTTCACTCAAATAAACCCACGCAGATCTGAGGTTGCCAATGATGATGCTTCTTGTCTTCGCTTGGGATGGTTTAGACAGGAAAATATTGTGAGCAGTGACTAATTAGTAGCAGGAATTAGATTCTTTTTCTGGCCCTGTTACTGCTTCATGTGTGACTTTTGGGAATTAGTGGGAAGGATTTTTTTCCCCTCTTTTTTTTACAGCAGTGGGGTGGAAATGGAATCAAAATATTTTAGCTGACTGTTTCTTTCAGTTGTGTTTCCTTATCAGCCCAACACAGCATCTGATTGTTGGGACAGGAGGGAATCTGTCATTATTTTTATTTTTTTAAAAATAATGGCTGACCCTCTATTGTGAGGTTGTAGGCAGGGAAGGTTTGCATACTTTGCATTCCAGTTCCCAGAGTGGGACAACATCCTGTGCAAAAGGGACATCGGGGGTTCATTTGCAGCAGGGAATAAATACATGGGTAACGTGTCCCAGACTCAGAGAAAAACTTCTTGGTGGTGCATTTTACAAGTTAGAGCACTCATCCCTGAGACAAAACTCACACACATCCCTTTGCTCTTGAGGAGAAAGAGAAAAACGGGTCCTTAATTGGTGAAAAGAATATTTTGCCAAGAGGAACAAAGATTCCAAGTATTCACATAGAGAATTCAGTGAACTATGGCTAGCAAGAAATTACAAATATTCCTCCTGTTGAGCCTCATTCTGGCACTTAAATATCTCAATATCCAACAGTGACATGGATTACAGGGGCATGGAGTGATGGAGCAAGGCTGTAAATTGAAAGAGGGCAGGGTTAGATGGGATATTGGGAAGGAATTGCTCTCTGTGAGGGTGGGCAGGCCCTGGCACAGGTTGCCCAGAGAAGTTGTGGCTGCCCCAGCCCTGGAAGTGTCCAAGGCCAGGCTGGACAGGGCTTGGAGCAGCCTGGGCTAGTGGAAGGTGTCCCTGCCCATGGCAGGGGTGGAATCAATGAGCTTTATGGTCCCTTCCAGCCCAAACTATTCCATGATCCTGTGGTGATCCACAGTTTGATTTTGGAGCCTGTCTGTGTAAAAACCCAGTTTTGGGGTAATTACAGCTGGCAACCCCCAAAGCTTAGCAGACCTCAGTAAAGGCAGGTGGGGGCTCACTGAGGGCTCACAGCTGCCCCACAGCAGTCCTGGCAACTTGTAGCCAAGGCCACCTCAGCCACAAATGCAGCAGTTTTGACAAGGGAGGTTCACATTCATTCAGCTCATGTGGAGAGAAGTGTGGCCACATTCACCTTCGGTCCCTCTGAGCCACCGCTGTCTTAGGGCTGAAGGTCCTGTTGCTTCTTCATCTTCAGATAGGATCTCACAGCTTCAGGTTTGATGTTCTCCCACCCGACTGCCTTGCATGTTCTTCTCAGTTCTTCTCACAAGCTTAGGGAAAGTGGTCTCTTCCTGGGTAATTAGAACCAAGTACTGTTGAGTGACAAGAAAAAAATTAAATTATGAAGTATGGTGTGTCCTTGAAAGGGCACTTTTTAACTGAGGGCTTGAACATAAAATTGTTGAATATTCATATTAACATGTGGGAAGGCCTGATGTAGAAATTACACTGGGAAGTACATTCCTTTTGGGGCTTTGCTTCCATCCACTGTAGATCGAAAGGTCAGCTGTAAACTTCCAAATTTCCATCAGATTTGAGCAGTTTTAGATCAGCAGTGCTGGGAAGAGTCACATCTTGGCCACCATCTGCTCCAATCCCCATGGTCCTTCCTGCGGGAGAAGAGAGCCCAAGAGCTGGTTGTGCCTCTCTTTCTCTCTGTCTGAGAACAGCTGTGACTGTGCCACTCCTAAAGCTCTGACCAGCTCTCATCTTGGCATTTCTTGCAGTGGCTTGGGATACATCACTGGGTCCAGTGTGAAGCAGGTTGCTGGAGACTGGCACTGGGCCTTGAGGGTAAGTCGCTGGTAATCACGTCTTAATGACAGTTAATTGATTGATCTGTGTTAGGAGGAGTTCCATCACACAGTTGCTCAACCTGTTATTATATCTGGAAGTTAAAGGACTGGAAATTGCAGCCCTGGATGTTCAGTGCACAGCAGATGCACTCTCTAAGCAAAGGGGAAGGGTGTGTGGGCTTGGCTTGTGGTACTTGGTGTTTTCCCTGCCTGGGAGCAAGAATTTTCCAATCTCTTTATTATCAATCAACTGTGATTTCTTGATGGGTATTGGAAGATGAGGCATTGGCCTTAAATCAACTCCACAGTCTTTCAGTCCCCTGCTGTCAAGAAACTCCGAGAATGGCTTCCTGCTTTGAGGAAAAAACACTTTGTTCCAGTTTCCGCTTGTTTTTCTGCCCTGAGACAGTCGGTTTCCTTCTATTTTAACCTCTTGGGACCCTGATAAATGTGCTGAAAAGATAATCCCCTCCAATCACGTGCTCACAAACAGATCCTGCACACAAAGATGTCTTGAAAGAGCTGAGAGGAAGTGGCCCAGCAGAACTGGCTCCTGACCTTTGGTGGTGTGGGTGGCACGAGCCCCTGGGAGGTGCATTCTCTGGCTCTGGCACTTCATGAATCCCCTGGAGCTCAGGCCAACACCATTTATAGCAGCAGGGCATGAAACCCACAGGTTCCCATCTCCAGAAAAGGTGCCCTCTGTGACACAGGCCGTGCCCAGGGGAAGCAAAGCCAGAACAGCAGCGTGAGCGACGGGAGGGCCGAGGGCATTTCCCAGCTGGGAACCTGGAATGGAAAGTGCAGCATCCTGCAGCTCCACACCAGCAGGATGGCTGCATCATTCAGCAGCAGAAATACTTGGGGGTAAAATTAACTTTTGAGCAGAGGCCAGCACAAGGAGGGAGTTCCCCAAAGCCCCTCTCCTTGCCCAGTGGGCTCTAAGGAGGTGGATGTATCGGAGAGCTCTTGTAAAACCCAAATCCATCCGTAAAAACCAAGTGGGTAACTTGTGCAAAGGGATCCTCGCCAGCATTTTCCTCTTCAGGTGGTGTCTCCACAGTTATCCTGAGAAATCCAGGCCATCTGCAAGACTGTACCCTTGCAGAGTCATGATTCCCACTGCAAATGACACACTGGTGCATGATCCCCTGACTGTAAAATCACTGGGGATCTGATGAGCTGCACATGCCTGGGGTGGCTGCCTTGGACAGCACTGCTCAGGTTTTGTAGTCACACAGCACACACTGAGAGCTTCCAGACTCCCATCAGTGCAAAGCAGTTTTCTCATCCCTGTGGCAATTCCTGTGCCTCTTGCAAGATGTGAATGATTGCCCGAGGTGATGCCTCCCTCTGTGATCTCCCATGGGCTCCAAATCCAGGAGAGGTCAGGAATAATCTGTACTTCAGTGGGCTGGAGAAGACAGAAGGACATGAGGGCAAGTGGCAGCTTTGTCTCTGGATCCAGCAGTAATGTGGGTGTTTCCTGGGAGCATTGCTGAGTAATGTCCATGGATATTTTCAGTGGAGATTGTCCTGCTGGGGGCTGAAGCCTTTAGATAAAAATCAAGGAGACTTGAAATTGTCTTGTAATTACTAGAAAATACCAGCAATTCTGGTTTTTTCACCAGTGCTGCCTTGTGTTCAGCTGTCATAAGGAAATTGTACCAGCCTTCATTTATTCCTGGATGAGGGATTTTCCTGACTTTCCACTTTTGAAGTGCTTTTGTCTTCTCTTTCCTGGAAGAACTGTGGGTTTGTCACCTTTGGGCACGAAATGCTGCTCAGTGTGTAAAGGCCATTCTCAGGTTAATAATGGCAGCACATTTTTTTTGGAACAGGGATTTGTTTTTTAAATAGCCTGTCTAAATGGGATGATAGTTCAGTGAAAATCCGTGTTCCTATTTTCCTAAGGGAGCTATTTTCCATTCTAACAATAATGGAATTTCAGTGTCCAAACAAGAACAGTGCCTGTAGCCTGCAAAGCACTGTGGGATCTTTGTATTTTTGTCCAGTGCTTGGGAGAAGGAGTTGGATCCTGGGAAGTCTAACCCTGGAATGTGTCGTTTTCCTGCCTCCCAACCTGAATTTTCAGTGCTTCTTGGTCTGCTGAACACTGAGGTTACTTGAGGGAGATGCCTGAAAATGGGAAGCTACTGTGGGTTGGCTGGAAGAAGGAGGCATGCCAAGCAAGGGTTTTCAAAGCCAGAATGATCCCTACATCCAGAAATCCCTCACCCTTGCCTTGAAAAGGCTCCTGCACTCACTCAGAGAGCAGCTGGTCTCCAAAGAGCTAAACATCACTGAAGAACCAGTATTTTGATGAATCTTGGTACTTATTAACACAGTGGACTGCCTTAATGAGGGATTCTCCAAGCTGCATGTTTCCAGAGTGAGAGAAGAGTGCAGGGAATGACAGGGAGGAAGGAAGGGAGCGGATGCCTCGGGTGTTCACAGATTCGGACTAGAACAGTCCCTGAAACCAAGCTGATGGCATCTGCTTCTCACTGACCAGTCAAAGCAAACCCTCCTGGACTCCTGTGCTAATCCCCTGCCCCTTTCTTGCAGGTATCTCCACTCCTGGGAATGATAACAGGGACACTCATCTTGATATTTGTTCCTGCTGCTAAAAGAGGAAATGCTGAACAACTTGGGGGGCAGCTGAAGGCTCGGACCTCGTGGCTGAGAGACATGAAAGCACTGATTAGAAAGTAAGAGCACTTGTAAAAGCCATGCTTTGCCTCTCATGCTTAACTGGAACACCCAGTGGCCTGGATTTAGCACTGGTGAGACTGGAAAGTGATGACATGCAGGGAGTTGCAGGAAGTTTAGTCTGTGGACCTGGGAAAGAAAATCACAGTTACGTGAGGTATTGACTGCAGTGATGATGCTGCATTCCAGCTTTTGCTCTAGCCTTTCCAAGACTGACATCTAGGAAAGACTCTGCTTTGTTTGGCTCACACTTCACACAAATCAAGGCTTTTGAAGTGGAGAAATTGCTGTGTTCCTGTATTAATTGTTGTGGCACTGTTGTTCAGACACTTAGATCCTTTTTCTTCCTTAAAAGAGCTGCTTTACCAGGGGGGAAAAAGAGAGTTAAATGCCAGGAAAAAATTAGGAGGAGAAAATCCACAAAAGCTTACACTACATGGCAAGTTGAAATATATGTTTACACAACCACGTGTGACTGAATCTGTGAGCACTGAATGTGTTTGGGTGCTTGTATATGTGCATGAAGGATCACATGCTCACGGGTGTTTAAGCAGCTGGGCTTCCCCCCAGAAAGCTGGGCTGTGAATGGGCAAATACTTGCACTAGTGAATTCAGCGTTAGGTTGGAATTCTGGTGGGAAACTGTGGTGTCCTTCATTTTTAGGATGGCTGGCTGGAATGCCTTCCTGGTATTGTCAGGCAGGGTCAAAGAAGGACTGTGAGAAGCGATGATGGATAATTTATCAATATTTCTGTGTTACTTCTCTTGGTAGTTTATGTGAGTGGTAATCACATGGTGGCATGGATGGGGGAGGGGAAGTGAAACTGGTCATCCAGGTAGACAGGTGACATTAGGGTGGCAGCCCTGTGATTCACACACATCATGTCTCAGGGAGTAAGTACTGATTGTCTTCCCAAACGGTCCCGTGAAATGCAGCTCCAAAGAGTCCAGTACATTGTTGTCAGTGGAGCATCACCTGTGAATATTCCATGCTGCTTATTCTCCAGTTCATAGCCTGTGTTATCCCTGCCTTGGCAAAGGGAGGTGGCACTGTGGGGGGCACTGTTCAGTGAAGCCCTGGCTGCTGTGTGGGGCTGCTGCTTCCTCCCTTTCCCCGCTAAAGCCTCCCTTGGCTCTGCCTCCGCAGCCGCAGCTACGTCTTCTCATCCCTGGCCACCTCAGCCGTGTCCTTTGCCACGGGGGCACTCGGCATGTGGATCCCTCTGTACCTGCACAGGGCACAGGTGGTGCAGAAGACAGCAGAGACCTGCAGCTCCCAGCCCTGCGGCACCAAAGACAGGTGAGAGGCACCCTCGGAGGGGGAGGAAAGGGGGTGGGGGCTGATTTACCAGAGGAAACAGGCAAGTCCCACAGAGTCAGGTCACTAGAATGTCTGTCATTTCCTCCAGGCCCTCACAACAATGATAGGAAATGCTGGGATTGTAAACTAGGGTTTATTTCTCTTCTTCATTGCATGAAGTCAAACGGAGGCAGAAGGGATGACCTCAGCTCTCTTAGTTCCCAGGCTGGGGTACAGGGGAGAAAAGAGACTTTTGTCTTTGCCTCAGAGGATGTTTGGAGAGCTCAGAACTTGGCTTCTTAAGACCCATCTGTGAGAGCAGCAGAATAAGCTGCAGGTTGGGTAACCCCAGTGGTGGCTGTGATTGGGAGGTTGGAATGGTTCCCCTTAAAGCTGCAGGGACCAACCCTGGAGGCTTTTGTTTCTGTGGGAGGCAGGACTTGACTGTTCCATTGCTCTGTAAACTGCTGTTCCTGCTGAGTTGTGCTGGAGGATGTCCCAGAGATCTGGGGCACTTTGGGCTGAAGTGCTTGGTGCTGTGCAGTGGTTTGGCTTCTCAGTCCTGGTTATGGAATATCAGTTGCAGCACATGAGCTGTGGAAAGCAATCCTTCACTTTGTGCTCCAGCACGATGGCACAAACCAGAAGATGCTACAAAAGCATTTCTCCAGGTAAATAAAAGATATGAAGAACTGCCTTTTGTCAGCTCTTTTGCTTTTTAGCTCGTGAGGGAAAACAATATGAGGAAAACCTTCTTGCTCCAGCTGACATAATCCCATCTCAAGAAAACTGCCCAGTGGCTTGGAGTCCCATCAACGAGTGTCCAGCAGGCAGGCTCAGGCTGCTCTGCAAAAATGCAGTGAGCAAGAAACACAGCCCCAGTCTGCCCATCTGCTCTTTACTGAGAGTTTTCCCCTCCTTGATGACACCTCGATTTTGAGCTGCCCCGGAGCTGCCCTAATGTGGCTGCCAAAGGCTCTGTAATCCAAGTGCTGCACACACAGTGCAGACAATCCTTGACAGCTCCTGGCTCTTTAAACTGAAATTAGCACATTTCCAGTGTGTAACCCAACAGCAAAAGGCTCCTTTGAAGTGGTCTGAAAGGAGCTATGAAGTCAAGGTATATTGAAAATCGTGGTATTTAAGAGTCTTATTAGGTTTCCTTTCCTTAAGCTTCCTGGTGCCTGTTCTATCCCTGATTTCCCATTACATGATCAACGTGCAGGTTATTAGTTAGTTTTGTCCGTGCAAAATTAGCTGTTTTAGGAAAGTCTCCAGGAAGCTCAGTTCTCCCCAAAGAAGCAGTGTGAGCTCTTTGCCCAGGGACCAGTCCCTGTGTCCACGGCTGAGTTTCATGTGCTTAGTTTTTCTGAATCACAGGGAAAGAGGGCTAAAACCACCAGCACTCAGCAAGGGGAGCTCTTCTAATTCTTTAATTTTTAAATCTATTTAAATATTTTTAAAATTTTAAGTCTTTTTTTTTTTTTTTAAAGCTTAGTTTTAAATCTGCAAATCGCCAGTCGGTGTCTCGCCCGAACAATTTGGCCGTGTCCACTTTTGGGGAAAACTCCCAAAAAAACCCACTCTCCACACCTGTCTGTTATTTTTATTTTTATATTTTTTTTTTTATTGACCAGCTTGATCTTCGGGGCCATCACATGCTTCACTGGCTTCCTGGGTGTCATCACAGGGGCAGGGGCCACCAAGTGGTGCCGGCTGAAGACGCAGCGGGCGGATCCCCTGGTGTGTGCCGTGGGCATGCTGGGCTCTGCCATCTTCATCTGCCTCATCTTCGTGGCTGCCAAGAGCAGCATCGTGGGAGCCTATGTAAGTAAGATCCTTCCCATGTGCCAGCTCCCCCCCAGGCTCCTCTCACTGTCCCCTGCAGGAAGCCTGAGCTTGTCTTGCTTCTGCTTTTGGTGTTTTGGCCCAGGCTGGGTGTGCCTGGTAGCTCAGCTGCTCATCCATTCTCACTGACTGTCACCAGCCATGGCAACCCACGGGTCTGTTCTAGCTGTACCTCAACCCACACCTCTTTTTATTGCTCTTACCTAATGTGTTGGTAGAGGAAAATTGACCACTTGCCTTGCAGTGAGGGTATTGTAGCTGCAGTGGTACCAGGTTATAATTACGGTGTAATTTGTTTGTGGGCATGCTTTTGTGGGCTTTTAAGTACCAGTCATTTCCATAACTGGGTAGATTGCAGCAGACCAGTATTAATTCCTGGGTGGTTTCAGTGTGCTGTTATCTGTATTCCCATAGCCCAGGAACACACAGGGCTGGATGCTGCACAAATGCAGATTAAAACATGGCCCCTCCCTGAGCGTTTCTAATTGAATTATTATACAAAAAGATTAGCAAATAGGTCCAGGCAAATAGAATCACAGAATGGTTTGGGTTGGAAGGGATCTTTAAAGGTCATTTAGTCCAAGCCCCCTGCACTATGCAGGGACACCTTCCACCAGCCCAGGTTGCTGAGAGCCCCATCCAACCTTGAATGTTCCCAGGGATGAGGCAGCCACAGCTTCTCTGGGCAAGCTGTGCCAGTGCTTTACCACCTTCTTTGTAAAAAACTCCTTCCTTATATCTAATCTAAATCAACCCTCTTGTAGACTGAAGGGAAATGGAAAAGCTCAACTGTAATAATCCAGCCCTGGGCTAAAATCTGGCCTTCAGTAGGGAGTGGAAATCCAGTCACTGAACAGGTCCTGGGTTCCCTTTTAATATCACAGAGAGAACCTGTGGGGTTCTGGGAGGGTTCAGGGACATGAAAGAAGTTTCTGAAGGGAAAGCACGAGGTGTTTGGAGTGGTGGGATCCCTTGGGAAAGCCCTCCCTCAGCCTCACACAGAGCAGTGCACACTCCACCCACAAGGAGAATTCACTTACAATTAACCAACCAACCACTGTTCCTCGTTTCTCTGTGTTTCTGGCACTGGCCTGGCCATGGTTGGTTGGTGAGTATTTCAGTAGCTGCCATTGTTAGGAGGAAGCACAAGAAGAAAGAGTGAACGTTCAAAATGATTAAGACAGGACCCAGAACGTCCACCCTGGCTGTTTAGAAAGTGCCAGAAGGAGATTCAGGTCTGTGATTTGTGGCCTGGGCTAGAACTGACCTTCAGTTGAGCAGCAAAATGATCACCTCAGACAACCTGGGAGAGGCTGTTACTGGTTGGTGAAGCATTAACATTTCATTGTCAGCTGTCTCTAAGTGAAGATCCATCACATCCCTCACCTGCTCCCTCCCCCTCCTTGTGATTTTCTCCTCTCTCAGACCCAGTGACATGTTCATTTGTGGTGTTCAGCCTCCTTATGCAGAAACCCCTCTGTTTCTAAGCTGGAAATACTCTTTTCAAAAATTGTGAAGCCAAAGGTGGCCACTGATCTCATTTTTATCTTTTTTCTTTTTTTTTCCTACCATTCTGCATTGTATAAGCATATAAATATGGATGGTATTATTTAACCAATCTTAGAAACAGTTTATTTTATTGTGCATGAGCAGTAAATCTAATAAAGAGTTGATGATTTGCAAAGGGAGTTATGGCTGCATATGGAGGGAGTATGAGGAATATGAGCCAGTCTGTGATGCTGTTAGGCTGAAGCAGGTAACACTGCCTGTCTGTAACCCTAAATGTGCTCTCTGCTGCTGGAAACCTGATCCTAAAAAGAGAGGAAAGGTCTGCCTTGGAGCTACCAGTGTCTTGTAACACGTGGCAGTGCCATATATCAGCTGAACTGACTTCTCAAGGCAGGTTTCAAACACCAGCCCTTGTTTTTCCATGCCATTCAAAGCTGTTTCCATCTTCCAGAGCGTTTTATTCCTTGGTATTTCCCTAGGAGAACTGTCTTGCAAGGTTGCTTGGTATAGGAGTTTCTCCTTGCTCTCTCTTTTAAGCCTCATTGGTCCAAAATGAAGGAGAGACTGTCCTCTGATCCTGGAGGTGGAACACAGCTATGGGGGGCAGAATGGTGGACTGGGTTCCTTTCCTTATCTCAAAATCCTCCTGGAAACAATACAGGAAAACTTCTGGGATGATTTTCTCATCATCTCTGATACCTTCACAGCTATCTTCTGATAGCTTCACAGCTCCTGTCCTGACTTGGCATCCTCAAGTTCTGTGTGCCTGTGAGAGGCACCCTCCTGTACTGTGCCTGTCCTCAGACTGCTGGCATGGATCACACCATGCCAAAAATTGACAGTTATTGGTTTTGGAGCCCTCACTGGCTCAGAGCCTTAAAATTCTTACTTCCAAGCAGTTGGATGGCTCCCCATGAGATGGTGATCTCTGACACTGAGCTCTGGTGGCCCCCAGGTCACCATCTCCCTCCCTGCTTTAGTTAACAATTGAGAGCTTTTAATGTCAGCATCAGCTTAAATGAAGTGTTCAGCACTCCAGCAGGAACCTGCAGAGCCCTTGGATTTATAGGGTTTATTTTTTGGGGGGAAAAAAACCTGCACATCCATGAGCATGATCACCCTGGCCCTTACATGCTCTCTGCTCTCTTTCTCCCCTGAACACGTGTGCTTTTTCTCCCTTACTCACTCTTGCAGGTGGTTTTGGTCCCTGGGGGCAGCTGCTATTCCACTTCTGTAGCAGCCATTCCTACCTGGAGCAGGGAGACAAATTACTTTTTTTCCATCCAATCCTTCCATATTAATCCACTCAATTATTGGCAGTGGTAGAAGTGGCTAGCAAGGTGGAATAAACCAGTTTTCTGTGTCACTTTGCTTCCCAGACACTTGTATTTCTCTCTTTTACCATCTTGCTTGGCTGTATAGTTCAATCAGTTCTTATTCAGCTTTCCTTGCAGTGTGTGTTGCAATCCAGCTCCTTCAAGCACCGATTTGCACATCTGTAGGTCCCCACTCTTTCTGAAATATGTTCTCTTTGGAACCTTGGTTTTCAAACCTGTCTCTGGAAACCCATTATCTGCGTGGCGTCATCGTCTCACCCAGCTCAGACACTTCAGCTGCAGATTTTACACTCCTTTAAATCTCCAGATGACTGCAGAGAGATGCTTTGCTTCTCCTTCCTCTTGACTCTGTTCCGAGTTCCTCAATCTCAGCATCTGTTTCCATTCCTCAAAGGCCTTTTATGATCTCGCAGAAACAGCAAATCCCAGGGTAAAACCTCCCCCTGGGGCTTTTACAGCATCTCAGTCTCAGCTCCAGGGACCTTCTGTTGATGTGGTGTTGGTGACCTGCCTATTTCTGAGGCACCAGTGTTGCCCAGCACTGAACTGGAGTGGGAATTGCTCCACATCCAAGAGGACAGGAGGGTGCCTTACCCACCCTTTCAGAGAGAAATACAGATAATGAAGATGCTGACAGATACCCGTGGAAGGAGTTTCTAACCTGCTTAGGTCTTGCTGTGAGAGCTGCTGGTGGGACCACTCTGAAACCTACTTAACTGTAATTTTTGGGAATCAGAATTTGCTAAGTCACTTAAACAGAATGGCTCGAGGGGGACATAACTTCTGTCAGCTCAGCACAGATGGGCAACAACTGGACACCAAAGGGAGATGGTGAGATATGACACAGCTGGAGTCAGAAGAGGATGTGTTCACAGAGCTGAAATCTCAGTGCAAAGTGAGGCTTCAAAAAGTGTGTGAGGAGTCAAACCACGAGCATTTCAGGAGCCATTGATCTGCTCTGGAGCTGCCCTATTTGCAGGAAGCATCCCTAGAGTTCTCTCCCCAGCACTAACATCACATATCCTCATTTGCCCTTTGCAGTGCCTGAACTCATTTTTATAAATCCCCATTAGCAGCTGAAGGACAGACATTTTTTTAATGTCAGTATCTTTTGTCCCACTTTTTGATCTTCCTCTTGTTCCTCTTCTCCTTTTATCAGTAGCCACACATCAAGCACATGTTCATGGAACGGGTGAAACACACATTGAGCACCTGAGCACTGGTGCACTCTGAAGCCTGCAGCATTTCAGTGATTTATTTATAGGACTTAATGGGAATATGGGAGTTAATAGGAATACAGGACTTACAGGAATTCAAGTGAATTCCTGCACAAGGGGCAAGTCCTCCTTGCTGCCTGTGACAGTTCACACAGGTGTATAACTCACATGAGCTCTAGGCAGGCAGTTGCCTGTTTGCAGTGTGTGTGAGCAGGCAGGGCTCCTTGGTGCTGAATTTGGAAGTGTGGTCCCGTCTTTGCCAGGCTCAGTTTGATCCATCCAGCCACAGAAGCTCAGCAGCAGCAAAGCTGTGGCAGGACACGTTTCAGAGCAGGACTGAGAGCTCTGAGAAGTCCTTGCTGTGGCTTCAGCTCCTGTCAGCACCTTGGTTCGGTGGCTCTGTGTCCTGGGCTTGGCAGTTGGCATTTCCAAGTCCAGGGCACACCAGTGTGGACAGTGGGAAGATGGGAATGGAGATTTCCTTGCTGACCAGCTGGGCTGTAATGGCTGGCTCGGACACCATCACAGAGGAGGCAGATCCAGTCACAGAGAGAGGGGACAGGGAGGGAAAATGAGTGGGAAACAAAGGCAGTTTTAGAAACAAATAGAGGAAGCTCCTGTGGGTCGGTGGGTAAGACTTGCTAAATAAAGCCAATTGTTCCTGGCAGTGACATGATGGTCTGAGGGGTTTAGGGAACCTCAGCTGGTGTGTGGGAAGGACAGTGGCAGTGGCCACATCATGCCATAGCTGCCACTCTTGCGAGAGTTCCTTGGCTTTTGGTGCCTCTTGCTGACCATCCCCAAAGATCCAGGGTTGTGTTTCACCACAAGGCACTGGTGTTGCCAAGCCCACGCTTAATTCCTGTCTTGAGTGTACACAGATGTCACCCATGGGGAGGGAAGGGATCCTCCACCTCATCTGAACTGCTACAGATCTTAACACATAACTTGGTTCCCAGTGATGAAAATGTCTGTGCCTTGGGGAGCTGGGGCCTTCATGCCTTTTCTGACTGGCTTTTTGGAACAGAATGGTGCAAGTTGGACTCGATGGCCTTGAAGGTCTTTTCCACCCTCAAGAATTCTGATTCCAGGTATGGAAGCCCAGGGCTGTCTGTCCTTTCTGCTTTCTCATGTTCTGCTGTAACCAGATGTGTTTTAGCTGCTCTGTAGTTCACAAACTTAGTTTACACTTAACAAAATTGCAGGTCAGCCCTCTAGAGCTCTGATACAAATCTATGGTTTGCTCATGTTCAGGATAAACCACAACAGTAACAAGGAGTGTGTTGTGTAGGTAAGAGACAAATAAGCAACAGAGGCAAGTTTGGGACAGGTTATTTTTCCCTTTGAATGTCAAGTGAATAAATCTTCTCCTTTTTGTGTGTTTTGTTACAACAGATTTGCATTTTTATCGGAGAAACTCTTCTGTTTTCAAACTGGGCTATCACAGCAGACATTCTAATGGTGAGTGTACTTTGGAACAGCATCTTTTGGTGTTCAGAGCAGTTTATGAGCCTGCAAGAACAAGCTGAAATTCACGATTTCTTCCAAATCCTGCTTCTGCCTATTCTGGGTTTTCTGTTACTAAGTGACATATAAAGAGAGAGAGGAAAAAAAGATTCTTCTTGTCCTTTTTTCTGAGCACCAGGGAGAGGAGATGTCCAGAAAGGGCAACATTTCTGAATTCAAATAATTTCCCCAATTTGAAGTGTTTGTGCAGAGCCCCACCCGCACAGAATTCAGCCAGAATTTCCCAACAGTTCATGGGTTTTGTTATCAATAACTCAGCTTTGTTCTGCCATAGGAAATCCTTCCCTCCCTCCCCTGACCACAAAGGCAGCCCACCTACCTCCCATTCAACACATCCACAATAGGAACCCACCTCTGGGAGAGCAGAGAGGAAAAGAAAGCATAAAGAATTTTTGGACTGTGTCTACCTTGCCCAAGAGGAAGCTGGCGGGGACTTTTCACCTCATGTCTTTAATTTTTGATTCCTTCACCACCACAGAGCTTTTTAAGCCTTTCAAATCAGCAAGTTGACCTCAGCAGCCCTGTTTTCACATGAAATAGTGTGGACATTTGTTCAAGAGCCTTGTGTGTTTTGAGGAGGCTTCATCAGAGCTGCACAGAGCCCATCAAACAGAACGTGTTGAAGCCCTGTTGCGAAGGAGGTGTTGCTGATTGTAGGAAAAAGAAAGCCACTAAGGCACAGAACCATTACAGGACTTGCCCGAGGTCTTTTGCCAGAACTAAAAATACAATCAGTCTGGCATCAACAGAAAACTGCCTTGACTTGTATTAGTTGCTTATGCAAACATCAGGGAGGAAACAATCGGGCTCGGTGCTCCTCGATGGAAAGATAGTGGTGTTGATGTATTGATTCAGCAAAGAACTTCAAGCCTCTGCTTTAGCGGTGTTTATGTTGGAGGTCAAGGTTTGTTTGTGTGTTGGAGCAGCTCAGCAGTTGCCGTCAGGGATCAGCTTTCCACCTTTAACTCGTTGGTGCGGGGAACGCTCTGGTGGGTGGTTAATTCCACCTCTCCCAGATGGGAGTAAACACAGAGAAGTGAAGGTGGTCAGGACACTTTGGCAGTGCTGGAGAGCCTTTAATTCGCGGGGTTCGTCGCTGCTGCCGGCGCGGCTGTGCCGGCTGTGCCGGGACGGGGCTCTGGGCGCTGCTTCCCGGGAATGCCGCGGGGTTTGCAGCTCCTGCAGAGCTCGGGGCTGCTCTGGCCGTTCACGGGGGATCTCAGTGCTTGGACAGATGTGCAGCCTCCAGACCAGCTGTGCTGAGGAACAAGTGACAGGGCAGTGTGTGTAGCTGTTCATTCCTGACTCCTACCAGAACCTCCTGGCACATCCTGCCTCTGGCTGGGACGTTCCCAGGAGCGATCCTGGTTCTCTCCTCTCAGGATTCACGGATGGGTTTAAGTGGCAGCTGTCTGTACCCTCACTGGCATTGGCTGGCTCAGGTGAGGGCTCAGCCAGCAGCACATCTGCAGCTCTCAGAGCAGCTGAGATGTTGTCTCTGCTCAGCTCCTGTCAGACGTGTTCAGGGTCCTCTGGAAAGTCTGTGCCAGAGGGACATCTGAAATGTGGCCTCTGCTGTCTCAAGCCAACCCCAAAAGATATTTTTCAACCAACTGCTCTGTTATATCAAGGGTATTAGGGCTGCATCATTGTCCTGTTTTAATGACTCAGATCTCTTTGTGTTGATTTCAGTTGGACTTCAGTGTCCCATAGCTTTTTAACAGCTTTTGTAGGGTTTGCCATCTGCCTTACCAGCATCCTATAGTCCCTTGCATTTTGTAGGGATGCATTTGCTGTTATTTTCCTTGCTCTAGTGCAAAAGAACTCCATGAGAAATGACTGGAAGCAACAGTTCCATTTTCCAAAACAAAGGAGAGAAATCAAAACCCTGTTAAAAGCTGCATTTTGGTCATTCTGCCAACTCTTCAGCTCACTGTTCTGTGGTCTATTTAGAAAACTGAACTGAGTGTCATAGATAATGCCCAGCTTGAGGCACTAACAGCACCAGTGGAACCTGTGAAAGTGTTGAAGAAATAAATGTAAACACCATTTAGATGAGTGCAGGGCTGCAACCAGACATGCTGGATGCAGGGGGATCACCCGGGGGGGTGGGAGGGTGTTTAGGCTGTCACTGGGGGAGAGCCAGGGCTGTAACCACCCTTGACTGACAGCTTTGTGGGAAGGCCTTGCCAGGGGAAGGTGTGGATATGCTTTAGCAAGATGCACTTCAAATGTTTGGCAAATTAATTTCTGCTGATTACTATTTATTTGGTGTAATCAGAAGTGTGCTGTTCTTGCCTGGGGCTGGGAAGGAGTTTAAAAGCATTATTAGCGTGAGCTTAACAACACTTTCATCCTCTACATAAATATTACCCTGTTTTCATGGATAAAAGCTCTCAATACTGGCTGAACACTGTTCCTGCTGATCTCATCATGCCAGGAGTGAGGCTTTTTGGAAGCTGCATCCCAGATGATTCCTCACAGCTCTCCCAAGATTTACAGATCTCACGGCTGCTTAAGAACCCTATTGGGCAGGTTGTTGAGCACCTCCAGAGGCTTTACAAGTTTAATTTCCGTGGCAAAACAAGGATGTTTGCTTATTATCTTCCAATTTAATTGCTGGCTCTCCCTGGCTTCGTGCTTCCACTGCATCTGCTGTGCCTGCCCCGGGGAAGGGTCGCTGTGTGGCTCCTTGTCTTGCCTGCAGTCCAAGGTGCTGGCTCTGATAAAACTGTCAGTGCTGCAGAGTGTCCTGCCCTGCCTGAGATTTTGGAAAGGCTGATATATTTGTTCCAAATGCAAATCTGTACAGAGCAGGCCGTGTTCTCCCGAGCAGGGCTCTCCAGATCTCCTCCCAGGCACATGCTCAGACGGAGCTCGGGGAAAGGGGGGTGTTTTGTGTGGAACATGCTAATTATGAAACAGATTCCATCAGCCATCTTTGCAAATTGGCCTTTAAAATTACCAGAACCCCAAAGTAGCATTAAAACTGCCTTGTAACAGCAGTAATGAATGAGCTTCAGTGCAGCAGGCGAGTGGGTAGCAGGCTGAGACGTGGGGAGCGCTTGGGACTCTGTGGAATCTGGTCCTTCCGGTGGGGTTTTCCCTCCACAGCACATCTCAAAAATAAAGATGATGGACAGAGGCTTGGTGGCATTGCTGTGTAAGAGCCAGGAGGCAATTTAAAGGGCCTCAGCTGTTTCAATCACAACCTCTTTAGGTCTTTGCTGAGAAAAACCATCCCCTGGTTTATGCACGGTCCTGACATTCATGCAACACAAAATTTCTCTGCATATTTCTGTTTTCTTTTAAAGCATTAGTCCTTTTTAAATGGTCATGACCTGCTGTGGAGGAGCTGCTGTGATGTTTCATTGTACAGTCAGTCTTTCTTTTAGGCTGGAAACAGGCACAGACTGGTGCTCAGCTGTGCCATGGGCACGGAGGAATGTTGCTTTTGTCCTGATTACCTTCCCTATAAATAAACCCCAGTTATTTATTTAGTCCAAAATGCTGCCCTAATTTTAAAGCTGAAGATAAATTGCATTTCCAGAAGCTCTTGCTGGTGCTTCTCTCAGTGCCTCCACTCAGCAGTGCCCAGAGTTAGATGTGAAGGCAGGATGAGAAGTGCCTGGAATGAGGGTACAGCCCATTCCAAACAGCCCAGGGCTGCAGGAGGGGGTGCACTGGGAGCTGCAGACCAGGCCAGCCTCCTTTTACTTCATTCAAGAGTATTTTATTGGTCAGTGGCTGCCTGGTTTTTGTCTCAGGCTGCTCTCTCTGGATCCCAGCCTTTCCCTTCCTGAGCACAGGTACGACAGGGACACCCGGGCTGCTCCCAGTGGCTGGAACAGGGTTAGTGTGTGTTTCCTTTGCCTTCAGTGCTGAGGGTATGAATTGTCCTGACCCAGAAAGTGCTTTAGAGAGCAGAGTTTCTATCAAACCTTAGACATAAACACCACAACTCACCTCTCTGGCACGTGGCCTTTTTCTGGGAGATGAGTGATCCCCCCTTGGCTTTCCCAGTTAGCTTAGTTCAGACCAGCTTCCTGCTTCCCTCCCAGGAAGGAGGTGTCAGCAGCAATCCATGGCCTCTCTGAACCTTTATTAAAGAGCAGAGGTTCCCAAAGCTGCTGGCTCAGCCTCCCTGCCCATCCTGTGTGCTGCCTGTCCCTGAACCTGGGATGAGGGCTGAGCCAGGCTGATCCCACAAGGCTTCCGCCCGGGCTGCTGTGGCTCTCCCACCTCCAGCTCCTGTGGCACGTCCAAACCAGGCCATGGATGGTTTGAATTTAGGTCTTATTTTAGTCTCAAAATGCCCATTTAGAGCTGTAATTTACTGCTGTCTGCTGAGAAGAGGAGACAATGTTTGCTACCAACTGCTTCCTGTCCATCAGGATAAAATGCTTTTTAAGTAGGGATAGGGTGGAGTGTTTTTGGTGCTTGGGGAGACGCTGGTTTAAGCTTTTTTTTTCCTCCTTCCAATATCCTTTTTGAGCAGGACAAAAAATCTTGTATTCATTGGCTTGCCACACGCTGGGTTTTAGGTTTGAGTGGGCTCTTTGTCTCTTGAATTCCAGGCTAAATTTAATAAGTTTTGGCACTTCACATTGTTTCAGCTATCAATACCTTCTTCAGCTAAGCACACTGAAAACTTGCTAGAAACTGCTGCTTGCCAAATTATATCTGCATAATACAGCTACATGTGCAAAATGTATGTATAAGTGTGATTATTTATGTGTATATATATATATATGTCAATAGATGTGCACACAGACATATGATACAGGTATCATTCAGATTTCTTCCTTCAGCTGGCACCAATTCACTGCCACTCCCTGGAAATGGTAAATTTTTAATGAATGTGCCATTTCCTTTGCCCTTTGGCTAAGAAAATTGATATAATACAGGGCCAGGCAGGCTTTCTTCTCCAGATTTGCTGACAGAAACTTTACAGAAAGAGAAATGCTTTAGGTTCAAAATCCCCTGTTTCCCAGATGCACACACAGCTCTGGACTCTTCAATTAGGCAGAATTTCACTGTATCTTCTCAGATGCCTTTTCCCAAACAGCCTTTCCAGAATATTTCTCCATTGGCCCTGTGTGAACTGGGGCCAGGTGGGAAGAACAACAATAACTCACTCTTAATTCCTCTTTTCTTCTGTCTGATCTCTGCAGTTTGCACCGATTTTCCTGCCCCTTTGGGGGGAGTGAGAGTGAACTTTGGGGCTCTCCTACCGTTCACAGCACGTTTTTGTGTCTGCAGTAAAGCCTAGAGCTAATTTTCCTCTCGGGATTTCTTTCTCTGAGCTCCTGGATGCAAAAGGAGGACGGGGTCCGACATCCCCCAGCTGGGTGGCTGCTGTGCATCTGAACATCTTTTGCTCTTTTATTGCACAACAGGAGTTTAACAGGGGGCCTGTTCAATACAAGGCATCAAAGTGCATTAGCAGTTGTGCATTTGCAGCTTTGTCAAAGCAGGGATGAAAGGACTGGCAGGTCCCTCTGGAAGCACGTGGCAAAACCCTGAGGAAAAGCGTTTAATCTAATTTTACCCGTCACTCGGAATTGTCCGTGCTGGGTGATGTTCTAAACAGGCAGCAGGTCTCTTCTAGGGTGGATTTTCTCAGTGCTCTTTCCTTTCTTGCTGGTTTTTTTGTGGCTCATCCTTCCCACTGCAGACAGGGCAGCTCCCCTTCCCGAGGAGGAGCTGTCAGAGCCCTGCAATGTGCTCACCCTGAGTGAGCTCTCCTGCTCAGGGAACGGATCTCCCTCTCTCTCTGTAGCCCTGGCCAGTCCTAAATGTCACTTTTAATTAATAAATGACTGCAGGAAAGGATTGCAAGGATGAGTTGAAGCCCTGGCAAGGCACAACTTTCTAAAGAAAGGCTGAAGGCAGCGCATCAGAAAGAAAGTGGACAAATAAAAGAGGGATCATGGTCCACAAATAGCTGACCAAGAGTCACTCCTGGCAGGGCACTCGGCTCTCCAGAGTCACAGGAAAAGGCTCAGTGAGAGTCAGTGCTTAGAGGCAGAAGCAGAGCTCACTTGGATTTAGAGACCTATTGAATTCTTCATTACTTCCAGCCTTTAAATCAAGACAAGATCAATTTATAAAGCGGGATTTGTGGACTGGATGCAGATGTCCTGAGCCAGCTGCTTCCACAATTTATGCAGGAGACAATTACCTTTTTTCTGCTTCTAGAGGTGTGTTATAAAATTAAGGTCATTTCAAATTAAGGACAGGGGGTTGTTTTTTGGGTTTTTTTTCCTCTTTTTTTAATCTTTCATCCCTTTTCCTGATTAGGGCTCTGCTTTCTGTGAGCTCTGCTCCCTTCATGGGGAAGTAATTTGTGTTTTCCACTGCTCCTGTGTAGTCTGACTGATTCTGCATGACCTGGCTAAGGGTGTCATGTCCTATTAGAGGAGTGGAGACCAAACTACAGTGTCTTGGATGTGGAAAATTTTCCTAATGTGACTTTGTCGCTTTTCACAAGCGGAATCACAAATTTTTGAGGAAAATACAAAGTGGCTGGAGGAGGAGTGGGGAGGGAGGATGTGACCTTTCACACTGCCGTGGATTGCTGGTGGTTTAGGAAACAAAATGATCACTTTATAAGATAAATACAATATACAACATGAATACAATATGAATATACAGTACAACATGAATAAACCCAGTATCCCAGGTTACAGCTCAGTCCTTGTTTGAAGGCTGGTGGTGCTGAGCAACCCTGAGCTTTCAGCAAAGAAAAATACAGGCTTTATAAAAACACAGGCTGAGGGGCAATAGCAGAGTGTGTCCTGGGCAAAGAGCTGCTGAGAGGACTGGACAGAGTCCTTCCCTCAGCACCTGCCATCAGGAGAGTTCCAGAGCCAGGGAGGGAATCCGAGCTTCCCTGTTGCCGTGGAGTGGCCGTGGCTCTGTCTGCCCCCAGCATCTGGGGCAGCTGATTTACTCTGTGCTGCCCTGGGTACAAACTGAGCAGTGCAGGACAGCTGGGCAGGTTCTTAACTTCACTTTTCCTCATCTCTTTTTGTTTCTTCCCCTCCTCTGCAGTACGTGGTGATCCCAACCCGCCGGGCAACCGCAGTGGCCTTGCAGAGTTTCACTTCACACCTCCTGGGAGATGCTGGCAGCCCTTATCTCATTGGATTTGTAAGTGCTCACAGCAGGCTCTGGCAGGGCTGCCTGCCCGGCTTTGTTTCTGTTTGCTAACTGCTCATCTCCAGTGCCAGGTTAGACCCTGCTGGGCAGGGCTGTGCTCGGGAGCAGGATGGGAAGGGGAGCAGAGCAGTGCCACTGTTGGACGTGCTGCACTTCAAACCTGGGGGGTGAGACATGAGCTCCTACATCTTTTTAGCCTCAGGCACTTACCAAGCTTATGGACAGCTCTGTAAAGAGAGAGTGGTGCTTCTGTGGTGTGGACAAGAGTCGTGTGTGTGTGTGTATGTGTGTGTGTGTGTGTGTGTAACTGTTAATCTGATAAAATTAAAATTAAATCAGATAACTGCTTATGGACAGCAACATGCAGCTGTCCTGCCCTGCTGATATTATGGACCTGGTTTGTATGATGATTAATGGTAGAATTACAGAATACCCTGAGGTGGAAGGGACCACAGGGATCATTAACATCCACAGGACACCCCAACAGTCCCACCCTGTCCCCAAAAGTGCTGTCCAAACACTCCCTGAGCTCTGGAAGGTTTTGCCCACTGCCCTGGGGAGCCTGTTCAGTGCCAACCACCCTGTGGGGAAGAACCTTTTCGTGAGATCCCACCTGAACCTGCCAGTGATGGTGTAAAACCCATGGCAGGGTGGATGTGTGTGTGGTTTGGGGTTTTTATTGGTGTTCCTTCTGGGGTGTTGTTCCCTTCTGTGACTGCTGCAGTGGTTGGCCTTGGTCTGTCTGGGAATCTCCCTTCCTGTACCCCCTTTGTGCTGGTGCAGACAGCAACAAAAGACCCAGCTCCAAAAGCTGGCATCACAGTTGAAAATGTAAAGCCTGGGAAATTTAATGAGGAGGGAAAAAAAAAATCTAGATATAGCTTGGAAATTTCTTTTCCCTTCTGCAGAGTTTGATGGCTTGAGAATGAGAGGTCACAGATCATCATTTATAAAATCCACAGCAGCTCCCACACAAATCCCTGAGGGATGCTCAGGGGGGTGCAGCTGTTTTCCAGTGGTGTAACTGGGATCTTCACTGGTCCCATCACCTGAGAAGACAGAACTGTGTGACACAGCTGCTGGGTGCTGGGGGGCTTTTTGTGTTTTTTAAAACCCTCATTTCTCCATCGATTCATCCTGTCAACACTGGTGTGTGCACCTATACATATGTATTTTTATATATATATATATATATATAACTTTGTGAGTACATCTATTTAAATATATATAAATATTTACTCCTGAATGGCAGCTCCCCAGAATGCTGTAGCTGCTCTGTAGCCCCCTGGAACACACGTGAAAAGGCAGGTAGAGATAAGGCTGAAAAGACCAAAGGAAGGAGAAATGTCTCAAGAGAATTAAAAATGCACAATTTAGCTTACTCTTTATTTACTTCAGTGTTCTGGGTACCCAGGGAGAAGGGAGCTTATTTTAGAAATTATTTGAAGGTGGCAAGAACAAAGGAATTGCTGGAAGAGTGGGGAATGTGGAGGAGGAGGATGAAACAAGCAGGGCAGGGAGCTTTGAAGGCTGGGGATGAGGGCAGGGCTGGGGCAGGCCAGGCTGCCTCAGGTGACTCTGCTACACGTTCATCCTTTTTCTTACGTAAAAAGGGGTGTCCAGGAGGAATACCAAGGACCCTGAATGAGTGCAATTAATCTTGAAAGTTGCCTAAGGCTCTTTAGTGTCATAGATTAAAAAAAAAAAGGTCTTCAGTTGTAGAAATAATGTGCCTTGCCCTTCTGGTATTCAGAGATCAAGCAAGTTGTGAGTTACTTAAGGATGCCTGGCTGAAACATGCACAACCCCAATTTAATTTAGCTGCCTTAGGCTTTCTTCAGGCTGGGAAAACATGAATTATTATTTTGAATTATCCTTTCTTAATGCTGTAATTGTTGGGCAGCTGTGATTTGGGAGGAGACTCCTCAAGCCCAAGTCTGTGTGGCAGGAGAGCAGGAGTGAAGCAGTTTCATGGCAGATCCAGCATCCATTTGTGCAGCCTCTGCACTGGCTGGACTCATCTTCCCTCTGCTACAAGGACTGAAAGGTGCAGTGCAGCTCCCACACAGCACAGGGAAACAAATCCTTGTTCAAGTGACAGGACAAACAGCCAACTCCTCCAGCAGAGCTAAGGCCAGCCATCAGCTGGAGTGTTAAAAACCACTGGAGTTGTCCAGCTGCAGTGCAGGATGGAGACCTTCCCGAGGGATTAGAACCTCACCTGGGCAGGTTACAGAAAGGGCCTGGTCTCTGACCAGCGTTTGCAAGGCAGTCTGTGAGGGCTCAGCAACCTGCTCCTGTCAGCTTCCAGGGAAATTTGGGAACCCAGTTCCCACAGTCGTGGGAATCCCCAGCCTGAGGGTGTCACCTCCCAGTGCTGTGGCTGCAGAGTTCCCAGCAGGCAGGCCCAGAGCAGGTTCTGAAGGGGAGCTGCAGAAGGTTCAAGGCCAGACTGGAGGTGGCACTCATTGTCATGGTCTGGCTGACACGGTGGGGTTTGGCCATAGGTTGGACTCGATGATCTTTGAGGTCTTTTCCAACCTGAACCACTCTGTGGGTCTGTGAACTGCACTGACAGGCTCAGATTGGGTGAAACAGCCTCCTGATCACTCGGGCTCACCCAAGACCCTGCAGCTCTGCTGTGTCTTCTGACTGCTCACAGAATCCATCTGAAGCTCCCTCGCTGAGTGATCAGGGGTTTGATCTGACATGGGGTGGAATCTTCCATGGGTTTGGTGAGTTCACAGTGAGGTTCCCTCTAAGAGTGCTCTTCATAAAGAACCAGATCCCCGTGGCCCTGCAGGACTGAGCTGGGGCAGGCAGTGGTCTCTGCTGGGTGCCAATAAATGTTGTACTGCTCTTAAAATCCTCGTGTGGAGCACAGAAGGTGCTGATCAGCTGCAGCCTCAGGGGTGTGATTGCTGCCACACTCTGGGGTGTGCCCTGAGAGCTCAAGGTCAGACTCAGACTGTCTGTAGCCTCCCCCATCCCACATCTCACTGCAGCTCCTTACAACCACCCAAAGCCCCATCATCGGTGATCAAAAGCCAAGAGGCAGGAAGCACACGTGTGTGGCTATTTTTCATGTCTCTTTAAATATTGATAACTTTTTATTATGGTAAAAAGGCTTAAGACTGACTTACAAAGGCGTTATGCAAATGCAGCTTTAGGGTGGCAGCTGTGATTTGCATAAGGCTTTACTACCTGCCAAGCCCTGAGATCAGTTATTGTAAATCAGCACTGCCTGTTCATTCACAAATAAGAATAGGCATTGCTGTGCTATTTCATTAGAGGAGACAGCTTTTATTCCTAGAGAACTGTAACTTTTTTCAGGACCTTTGTGATAACCAAGGTGCAGAGTTTAAATAGTTCCTGTTTAACGGCTCAGAGTTGTCACTCCATGCTTTATTCTTGAGGTAGTGGGTGAGGAAAGCTCACCTGCTCAGGGCATTACACCCAAATATCTCTAGGACTTTTCTGTCTTTGACAGCTCTCACTGTGTACAGAAGAGTTAAGGGAAATGCCCCAAATCCCACCACTCATGTAGAGTATCAGATAAAGCCCTTCAGCTGCTCTCCCCATGCCCTGGACAGCAATTCAGACTCGAAGAGCCGAGTGCAGTGAGGCAGCAGCACACATAAACAGCTCACTCTTCTCAGGCTACATCTCAGCTCCAGCTCCTTGTGTTACTAATTCTGGTTAGATCTTTGGTGCCCTTTAAAATGAGACAACTGTAAGACATGGCAGTGAGTCCCTGCTCCTGTGTCCACCTGTGCACATGGGTGAACCTGTCATCCCTGCTCAGGGTTTGCATTGTCCTTCACACCACTGCTCCACTGCCTGACATTCCCTTTTCCTTCAGGAAAAATGAGCACAGGCAAAGTTTGATTTGTATTTTGAGGCTGTGGCCTGGGTTTTTTTTTTTTTTTTCCCTTCCTCCAGATTTGTCATTTGCTTCCTACCTGAGCACAGCAGTGCTTTGCTCTCCCACCCTCGCCTTGCCCGTGGCTGTGATGAGAAAGGGGCACCTCCTGCAGGCACTGCTCTCTCTACACGTGCCAGGGCAGTGTGGGCATGCACTGTCCTCACTGCCCTGCTGCTCTTGGCTCTCCTGCCTGCTTAAACTCTCCCTCATCTTCCCTGTGCAGCCATCCATCACCTCTAGGGGTAGGAACCTCTCTGTATCCACTTGTCACCTGGCAACATCAGCCCGTGAGGAGGGTGCTTGAAAGCACCAGAGGTCAGCTCTCCTCCACCTTTTGATGGGCTGAAAGCTGCTCCCTGGGCTCCTCTGATGGTGGTTCCCACCTGTCCTGACCTCCCTGGCTCCTGCTGTTTCGGTGTTACTGGAGGGACACCACCCCCAGCCGCTCCAGGGTGGAATTCCAGTCGGGCAGCGGGGCTGTGGGAGCCTTTCACCCTTCCCTTTTCTCCCTTCCCCAACTCTCCCGTGTGAGCAGGTTGATAAACTAGATCTAATGAGCTACTTAAGCAGCAAGAATGCTAATGACCTTCCTTTAGCAAGTAGTTAGCAGAGCAGTGTTAATTATCCCTGGTGCAGAGTATCAGGGCAGGGAGATGAGCTTTTCATTGGGGGCAACCAAGGAAAACTGTGGTAAATGCAGCAATTAAGACACTTTTTAATGGAAGTTGTAACTGGAGGTACGGATTTCACAGCACCTTGTCCCAGTTTGAGGCAGCCTTTTTGGTGACTTGGTTTGCAGGTGTTTACCCAACCAGGCTAATAGATCTGTACAGAAAGCAGTTCTATGTGTAAAGGCTTCCCTACCTGAGGAAGCAGAATTCATGTGCTGTGGTTTAAAATTCCTATTTTACGGTTTCAAATGCTGTGGCTGCTTCAGAGTAGGACATGCTTACTCTGGAAGAACATTTTTTTTTCCAGTTTAGTTTGCTAGATTAAAACAGGCCACAGCCCACTGGGACTCAGATCCACTGCTGTCTGACTTAGAAGCAGGGCATGGAATAAAGTG